TTTCACCCTATGCCCCTGTTACCTAGCAGTAAAATAGGTACATGTGTGTTAGTCAGCTGTCACGGGCTGCTTCCTGGGGGTGGAGGCCTAGTCGAGGACCGGGCCGCGGAGACACTAAAAGTCCCAAAATCATCTCAAGATAACCTCAAGAAGGTGTTTAGGTTCTGTTGGCGATTATTTGTATTTGTAGTACGTGGGTGAACCATTTACAGCGTTGTGGTTCGAACAAAATTCGTCAGTGAAGCACTTGTTCAGGAAGTGTCCAAACGTCATCAGTTGTGAGTCGTGTGTAAACCGCTTTTCATTCATAAACAGCTGGGGGTTTGGCGGGTGCATGGAATGGTCTTCGACATTTGTTTATAAGGACGGGCTGCACTGTAATACAGTGGTCTACGTTCTTGACTCACAATCGGAGACCCCGGGTTTGATTACCGAGAGGGATAGAAATGGTTGGGCACCTCGTTTTCTTTCATCTGATACATCTGTTCACCTAGCAGTCAACAGGTACCCGCGAGTCAGACAACTATTGTGGGCTGCATCCTAGGAAAGGTCAGTAAATGGCCTTGGTAGAAGGACCTTGGTGCAAACCCACTGCGAGCCAATTTGTTTCCGCCTCCGCCGGGGATCGAACCCGGAACCAAACCTAACCACAGGCTTCCCTTTCACAGACGTCAGACTGAGGGATAAAACGGCATCTCTCTGTGATCCTCCACAGTTGCCTTTCACCGTGTGAAATCACACCTTTGAAGGCTGTTAACAGCAATGGCCAGGAGTAGAAGTCAGTAGCTTGGAAGATAACGATATGGTGATAACTGTTGGAGTGGATATATACTCACAGGATATGGAGTGGATATATACTCACAGGATATGGAGTGGATATATAGCACAAGATATACCACAAGATCTGACACAGCCTTCAGGTGTGTAACACAAGTGAGCCAGAGATAGGTGTGGCCATGGAAACTGGTGTGTGTGTGTGTGTGTGTGTGTGTGTGTGTGTGTGTGTGTGTGTGTGTGTGTGTGTGTGTGTGTGTGTGTGTGTGCGCGCGCGCGCGCGCTGCACAGCACTGTGAGGGGGTTGAACACCACTGCATCATGCAGAGTGGAGTTCAGTTTCTTTAGCAAGTCCTCGGCTCCTGTTCCTGCCATTTAACATTGTCAATTCGATTGCTTGAGGTAGGGGAATATATATATAGTTTAGCTGTCTCATTAAAGTCGATTCAATAAATGTTTTTAAAAACTTCACTCCATTTTTTTTTGGGGGGGGCGTTAATCATCCCTAATATACTAGTGGGCTGACTGCCAGCAATTTATACAAGTCCCTTGACCTTTTGTATACAAGTCCCTTGACCTTTCGTATACAAGTCCCTTGACCTTTCGTATACAAGTCCCCTTGACCTTTTGTATACAAGTCCCTTGACCTTTTGTATACAAGTCCCCTTGACCTTTTGTATACAAGTCCCCTTGACCTTTTGTATACAAGTCCCCTTGACCTTTCGTATACAAGTCCTTTGACCTCCTGACTCGTATAACTAATTATCACTTACCCTTCCACTAGTGCGTCAGTGTCAACTAATTATTACTAAACTGTCCAGAGGTAACTATTCCATTAATTATCCCTCCCACTGGGAGTAATTATTCCCTCCCCCCCCCCCCCCCCAAGGTTGTGTTAATTAAGGGTTTGAGTGTTACTTGAGCTGTAACACCCGCCACTCTCTCAAGTGGTGTGCATGAACAATTTCATGCTAGTATATATTATATATATATGTGGGTGAGAGAAAGAGGGGTGGGGCAGAGTTATATAGAACCTGCCTGGTATACTGTGTATTCACATGGGATATTAAGCTCTATTTTACTATTACCTGGCTCCCGGTTCCCCGAAAATAATGGAAACATGAATGACAACTCAGGGTGGGTGGTGGTGGCAGTGTTGTGTTGTATAAGTGGTGGTTATATATGGGTAATATAAGCTATAGTAGTAATATTTCTCTCTCTCTCTCTCTCTCTCTCTCTCTCTCTCTCTCTCTCTCTCTCTCTCTCTCTCTCTCTCTCTCTCTCTCTCTTACTCCCTACCTTCTCTTCTTCCCTCTCTCCCTCCTCTCTCTCTCTCTCTCTCTCTCTCTCTCTCTCTCTCTCTCTCTTACTCCCTACCTTCTCTTCTTCCCTCTCTCCCTCCTTCTCTCTCTCTCTCTCCCTCCTTCTAAGCTCCGTTCATATGATAGATGACTAAGAAATGTGTTCACATTAATGGCATCAGAACTCACATGTGTAGCAAAAGTTAAAATTCGTAGTTGCTATGCCATAGTGGGGCCTCTTGCACCCCTCAGTCACCCAAAAGAGGCTCTCACACCCCCAGAGGGTCTCTTGCACCCCCCAGTCACCCAAAAGAGCTTCTCACACCCCCATAGAGGGCCTCTTGTACCCCCACAGGGACCATCTCCCACCACCGTGCCACAGAGAGAGAGTCATCACGAGAGCAGAGCTTCACATATTTTCATGTAAGTGGTTTGTAAACCCTCGTATGATGGGTGATTGATGGCTGTAATGGTCTGCTGGTTAGTATTAATGTGACCAGCAGTTCAACAGGATTTAACAATAGACTGAATATATATATATATATATATATATATATATATATATATATATATATATATATATATATATATGGGTGAGAGAAAGAGAGGGGGGACAGATTTATATAGAACCTGCCTGGTATGGGTAAACTCTAAACAGATCTGCTGTGGGACTCACTAATGTTTATGTTCTTATTTAGATTACGAGTGTGTGTGTGTGTGTGTGTGTGTGTGTGTGTGTGTGTGTGTGTGTCTGTGTGTCTGTGTGTGTGTGTCGGTGTGTGTGTGTCGGTGTGTGTGTGTCGGTGTGTGTGTGTGTGTGTGTGTGTGTCTGTGTGTGTGTGTGTGTGTGTGTGTGTGTGTGTGTGTGTGTGTGTGTGTGTGTGTGTGTGTGTATGTATTTGCGTGCGTGCATGCGCCGGACTCTCTTAGTTATAGCATCCTTTATTCGTTATAAAATAATTGATATCACTACCACTATAAAGGATCGGCTTTAGTACACAACATTAGAACATAATTAAAAAAACATTAAAGGATCACATCCAAGAGTAATAGTAGTTAAACGCTGTTAAAATAGAGTTATAATTTCCTCTAATAAACACGAGCGAGTGTTTAATTACTTTACAACTCTCTATTTCAATGCTTCATAAAAAAGGAAAACTGGAAATGTCGTGTCGAATGCCAAAAAAAATATATTTACATTATTAAAGTACATCTAGACTAGTACTTTGATTTTGCTTCAAATTCGTAAAAAAAAAGAATGTTAAATTAATGATGTATTGTAGGTGTCTGAGTTAATACGTACTGTCATTCCCTACTCGCTAATTTAACACAATTACCATAATTAACCTGATAAGTTCTCAAGATAAGGAAAATTATATTTAATGTTTTTTTGTATCTAGTCCTCAATATATACACAAAACACACACAATAACCATTCATCATTTTGTAGAGAACCGCCAAGAGTATTCGATCCAGGAGGAAATATGTACTCCAGTACACATTTCCTAGAAATTTCGAGTATTACATAGAAATATGTCTCACAATCTACTTGAGAATGGTCCAGGACGGACTGAAACGTCGTCGTCCCTTCACCTTCTAGTGTATGGTATCATCAATTATTCGAGTATATATTATATACTATCTCTATATATTTTATATATATATCTCATAAGCATTTAGACTCTACATAGAAAACGATCTCCTAAGAAAGAGTACAAAGGAATCATACACAGCTTATTAATGAATAAAGATTTGGATTTCATGAATTTCTCTCTCCCCTCAAAATAAAATTGTGCTTAATCATATGTAAAAGAAAAAAGAAAATTCTAAATAGCTGATGAATACTTTGTATAACGCTAAAAATAGTAAATTATAATACAAATCATACAAGAAATAGTTGCAATTACTAGCAGTGTATACATCCGTTTCCTGGTGCATGTATTCACTACTTGGTGTATACATCCACCATCTTGAGTATTCATCCATCTCCTTGTCTATACATCCACCTCCTGCTGTATATACACCCATTGTATATACATACCGAATACACATACGGTTGTGTTTATACACAGCCGTATAAATAACGTATATTCACTCAGAATAAAACAGTAAATGACAGTTAACATAAAACTAGAAATAATCACAATTCCTAGAAGCGTAAATGGTCAAATGACCCAGCAGGCTGTTGGTGTCCCGTGACTGCACGAACCCTCGTGTTGGATACATTGTGCGAGCAGTGAATTATTACTAGAATGCAAAACTGGATAGATAATACTGGATAGATAGTCCTTGTGGCTGGAAGCTGAGAGGGAGAGGCTTGGGGCTAGTCTCATCAAACCCGTCCTTATACAATGGTCAAAGGATAGTTAACTCAGCTCTCAAACAATGGTCAAAGGATAGTTAACTCAGCTCTCAAACAATGGTCAAAGGATAGTTAACTCAGCTCTCAAACAATGGTCAAAGGATAGTTAACTCAGCTCTCAAACAATGGTCAAAGGATAGTTAACTCAGCTCTCATACAATGGTCAAGGGATAGTTAACTCAGCCCCCAAACAATGGTCAAGGGATAGTTAACTCAGCCCCCAAACAATGGTCAAGGGATAGTTAACTCAGCCCCCAAACAATGGTCAAAGGATAGTTAACTCAACTCTCAAACAATGGTCAAAGGATAGTTAGCTCAGCTCTCAAACAATGGTCAAAGGATAGTTAACTCAGCTCTCAAACAATGGTCAAAGGATAGTTAACTCAGCCCCCAAACAATGGTCAAGGGATAGTTAACTCAGCCCTCCAAACAATGTTCAAAGGATAGTTAACTCAGCCCCCCAAACAATGGTCAAGGGATAGTTAATTCAGCCCTCAAACAATGGTCAAAGGATAGTTAACTCAGCCCTCCAAACAGTGGTCAAGGGATAGTTAACTCAGCTCTCAAACAATGGTCAAGGGATAGTGAACCAAGCACCCACTTGAACCCTGAACCAGGCCACCACTTGAACCCTGAACCAGGCCACCACTTGAACCCTGAACCAGGCCCCCACTTGAACCCTGAACCAGGCCACCACTTGAACCCTGAACCAGGCCACCACTTGAACCCTGAACCAGGCCACCACTTGAACCCTGAACCAGGCCACCACTTGAACCCTGAACCAGGCCACCACTTGAACCTTGAACCAGGCCACCACTTGAACCCTTGAACCAGGCCACCACTTGAACCAGGCCACCACTTGAACCCTGAACCAGGCCACCACTTGAACCCTGAACCAGGCAACCACTTGAACCCTGAACCAGGCCACCACTTGAACCCTGAACCAGGCCACCACTTGAACCCTGAACCAGGCCACCACTTGAACCCTTGAACCAGGCCACCACTTGAACCAGGCCACCACTTGAACCCTGAACCAGGCCACCACTTGAACCCTGAACCAGGCCACCACTTGAACCCTGAACCAGGCCACCACTTGAACCCTGAACCAGGCCACCACTAGAACCCTGAACCAGGCCACCACTTGAACCCTGAACCAGGCCCCCCACTTGAACCCTGAACCAGGCCACCACTTGAACCCTGAACCAGACCACCACTTGAACCCTGAACCAGACCACCACTAGAACCCTGAACCAGGCCACCACTTGAACCCTGAACCAGGCAACCACTTGAACCCTGAACCAGGCAACCACTTGAACCCTGAACCAGGTTACCACTTGAACCCTGAACCAGGCCACCATTTGAACCTTGAACCAGGCCACCACTTGAACCCTGAACCAGGCCACCACTTGAACCTTGAACCAGGCCCCCACTTGAACCCTGAACCAGGCCACCACTTGAACCTTGAACCAGGCCACCACTTGAACCTTGAACCAGGCCACCACTTGAACCTTGAACCAGGCCACCACTTGAACCCTTGAACCAGGCCCCCACTTGAACCTTGAACCAGGCTACCACTTGGTTATAATCAGCTTAAATGCTCCAGAAATAGGATCACCGGATCAAGTGGTTTCCACTTACCCGTAGAGTATCTACAGGTAAGTTCCACTTACCTGTAGACTATTTTACAAAAATGTAAACCAAAAAAAATTGTATATTAAAATCTTGGGCCAAGTTATGCTGAAGTTAAAGCTTGTGGTTCAAATGGGATTTTTTGTTGCATTTTCAGTAGTTGATGAAGCATTCTATGAGGCGCGCTCTGAACACAAGGCGCTAAGCAGGCTTCGTGTTCAAGAAAATGTCGAATGTAATCAGCTGTGAGTCATATGTAAAGAAGTTTTTCATTCATAAACAAGGGATAGGGAGGGTTAAGGGGGGATAGGAAGGGTTAAAGGGGGATAGGAAGGGCTAAGGGGGATAGAAAGGGTTAAGGGGGATAGGGAGGGTTAAGGGGGCCGGGAGAGATGGGGGCTGAGTGATTGTTGGGGTAGCAGACTGTTGTGGGTAGCAGATTGTTGTAAGCGGGGGACGGTGGATGGTGGTGGTGGGGGGGGGGGGCTTGGATAGGTGTGGGCAAACTATCCTTAGGATATGCTCGTTAAGCCCTAAGGGTTAAGCCCTAAGGGTTAAGCCCTTAAGCCCTAATAACGCAGTCCTCAATTTTAACACCTTTTCTGTAACCTAAAACTATATATTTTCTCAAATACTAATTAATATTCGTTTATATTATCATTTTGTGTATGGATAGGCCTAGTGTAGGTTAGGTGAGGCGTTTCGGCTCTGATGGTAATTAGTTATTTTTTTTTTTTTTTTTTTTTTTTTTTGTGATATATACAAGAGTTGTTACATTCTTGTAGAGTCACTAGTACGCGTAGCGTTTCGGGCAAGTCCTTAATCCTATGGTCCCTGGAATACGATCCCCTGCCGCGAAGAATCGTTTTTTCATCCACGTACACATTTTACTGTTGCGTTAAACAGAGGCTACAGTTAAGGAATTGCGCCCAGTAAATCCTCCCCGGCCAGGATACGAACCCATGACATAGCGCACGCGGAACGCCAGGAGAGTGTCTTACCACTACACCACGGAGACTGCAAGACCACGTAATTACAGTACGTGGATGATGCATTCTGAGAGGTGGGATTCGAACCCGTGAAGAGAGCGAGGCAGTGTTCGAGAAATGTTTGAGCAACGTCAGTGTTAAGAGTCCTGTGTGTAGTGTCTTTCATGCATGTCTTGAGGTTATCTTGAGATGATTTCGGGGCTAAGCGTCCCCGCGGCCCGGTCCTCGATCAGGCCTCCTTTTCGTTACACACCCCCAGGAAGCAGCCCGCAGCAGCTCTCTAACTCCCAGGTACCTATTTACTGCTAGGTAACAGGGGCATCAGAGTGAAAGAAAATCTGTCCATTTGTGTCCGCCTCCACCGGAGATCGAACCTGGAACTTTAAGACAACGAATCCCCAGTGCTGTTTCACTCTACGGAAAACGTATCCAAATTTCAGACTCCATGAAAATCTCAAGGAGTTGCTATACATGTCGATATTTCTTACGAGAGTGGCTCTAGAACCAATCCTGACTGGCCTATGACACTCCCATACCTCCAGGTGTCATGTTGCAAACTTTGGTAAAATTGGCCAGGGCAGTCCGGCCTCTTAATGGGTAGATGGGTTACCCGGCGGTGCCCGGGTCGTCACGGTGCCTCTCTCACTAGCTGACGGTATACCCACCTCCCCCCCTCTCTCACTAGCTGAGGGTATACCTTCCTCCCCCCTCTCACCAGCTGAGGGGTATACCCTCCCTCACCAGCTGAGGGGTATACCCTCCCTCACCAGCTGAGGGGTATACCCTCCCTCACCAGCTGAGGGGTATACCCTCCCTCACCAGCTGAGGGGTATACCCTCCCTCACCAGCTGAGGGGTATACCCTCCCTCACCAGCTGAGGGGTATACCCTCCCTCACCAGCTGAGGGGTATACCCTCCCTCACCAGCTGAGGGGTATACCCTCCCTCACCAGCTGAGGGGTATACCCTCCCTCACCAGCTGAGGGGTATACCCTCCCTCACCAGCTGAGGGGTATACCCTCCCTCACCAGCTGAGGGGTATACCCTCCCTCACCAGCTGAGGGGTATACCCTCCCTCACCAGCTGAGGGGTATACCCTCCCTCACCAGCTGAGGGGTATGTATACCCTCCCTCACCAGCTGAGGGGTATGTATATACCCTCCCTCACCAGCTGAGGGGTATACCCTCCCTCACCAGCTGAGGGGTATGTATACACTCCCTCACCAGCTGAGGGGTATACTCCCCTCACCAGCTGAGGGGTATACCCTCCCTCACCAGCTGAGGGGTATACCCTCCCTCACCAGCTGAGGGGTATGTATACACTCCCTCACCAGCTGAGGGGAATACCCTCCTTCACCAGCTGAGGGGTATACCCTCCCTCACCAGCTGAGGGGTATACCCTCCCTCACCAGCTGAGGGGTATACCCTCCCTCACCAGCTGAGGGGTATACCCTCCCTCACCAGCTGAGGGGTATACCCTCCCTCACCAGCTGAGGGGTATACCCTCCCTCACCAGCTGAGGGGTATACCCTCCCTCACCAGCTGAGGGGTATACCCTCCCTCACCAGCTGAGGGGTATGCCCTCCCTCACCAGCTGAGGGGTATACCCTCCCTCACCAGCTGAGGGGTATACCCTCCCTCACCAGCTGAGGGGTATACCCTCCCTCACCAGCTGAGGGGTATACCCTCCCTCACCAGCTGAGGGGTATACCCTCCCTCACCAGCTGAGGGGTATACCCTCCCTCACCAGCTGAGGGGTATACCCTCCCTCACCAGCTGAGGGGTATACCCTCCCTCACCAGCTGAGGGGTATACCCTCCCTCACCAGCTGAGGGGTATACCCTCCCTCACCAGCTGAGGGGTATACCCTCCCTCACCAGCTGAGGGGTATACTCCCCTCAGTCTACCTGATGTTGTCCACTGAGACTCACTAATGCCCATAACTTATCCAGGTTTTTCTTACCTTCCAAAACTTTAGGAAAATATGCCTTAAAGTTCGAATGTTTGCCTGTCACAAACTTTAGAGGAACTTAGGCATTCTAAGGTGCCGTGCTGATCAAAGGCTAAGTTTAAGACTTTAAGGTATACAGTGATTTTAAGCATCTCCAAATTTTAATTGATCAGCTCTTTTTTTTTTTACGAAGATTTGGAACAATTTTTTGTATTATTTTGTAAGCTGCAAAATTTTCCGGTTTCCTGTCAAGATTTAAGATTTATTTACATTTTTTTTACAAGATTTAACATTGGCCATAATTACGAAAATGATACGTGTCAAATTTGCTTATATTCAAAACATAATAATTTACCTCTCGATAAAAAAAATTTTAAAACAAAAGTTCTTTATCTTGTTTTTAGTTAACTCTAGTTTTATTTAAACAAAGCAGCATATTATGCCACCTAGAGAACATTATAACGACAGCATTAAGGCTTATGTGGGGGGCGGCTGTTATCGCCGGTGTCGGAACAGATGCGCTGATTAATTTTAATTAGCGTCATAATTTTAAAGCGAGGCGGGGGGGGAGGGGGGGAAGAGTACCTGAAATGTTTAGAACTTTTTCATACATGTTTGTCTCTTTAGTCATTTCAGACACACACACACACACACACACACACACACACACACACACACACACACACACACACACACACACAGGAGAGGAGAGGGGGAGGGTAGGGTAGTGTAAGCTGGTCTGTGTGAATTTTGTGGCGGGAATGGTAGAGAGGGAGGGAGGTGAGCCACCAGGAACGTTTGTGAACTGCTGGCAACGTTCGTGAACCGCTGGCAACGTTCGTGAACCGCTGGCAACGTTCGTGACCCAACTGGCAACGTTTCTGGCCTATTGGCAACGATTCTGGCCTATTGGCAACGTTTCTGGCCTACTGGCAACGTTTCTGGCCTACTGGAAACGTTTCTGACCCCACTGGCAACGTTTCTGGCCGACTGGCAACGTTCGTGACACAGGCAACGTTTCTGGCCTACTGGCAACGTTCGTGACACAGGCAACGTTCCTGACCCACTGGCAGCGTTCCTGAATCCACTGGCAACGTTCCTGACCCCACTGGCAACGTTCCTGTCCCCACTGGCAACGTTCCTGACCCCACTGGCAACGTTCCTGACCCCACTGGCAACGTTCCTGACCCCACTGGCAACGTTCCTGATCCCATTGGCAACGTTCCTGACTTCACTGGCAACGTTCCTGACGCCATTGGCAACGTTCCTGACCCCACTGGCAACTTTCCTGACCCCACTGGCAACGTTCCTGACCCCACTGGCAACTTTCCTGACCCCACTGGCAACGTTCCTGACCCCACTGGCAACGTTCCTGACCCCACTGGCAACGTTCCTGACCCCACTGGCAACGTTAATGACTTCACTGGCAACGTTCCTGACCCCACTGGCAACGTTCCTGATCCCACTGGCAACGTTCCTGACCCCACTGGCAACGTTCCTGACCCCACTGGCAACGTTCCTCACCCCAATGGCAACGTTCCTCACCCCAATGGCAACGTTCCTGACCCCAATGGCAACGTTCCTGACCCCACTGGCAACGTTCCTGACCCCACTGGCAACGTTCCTGACCCCACTGGCAACGTTCCTGACCCCACTGGCAACGCTCCTGACCCCACTGGCAACGTTCCTGACCCACTGGCAACGTTCCTAATTTCACTGGCAACGTTCCTGATCGCACTGGCAACGGTCCAGACCCCTTTGGCAACGTTTCAGACCCCACTGGCAACATTCCTAACCCAACTGGCAACGTTCCTGACACCACTGGCAACGTTCCTGACACCACCGGCAACGTTCCTGACACCACCGGCAACGTTCCTGAACCCACCGGCAACGTTCCTGAACCCACCGGCAACGTTCCTGACCCCACCGGCAACGTTCCTGACCCCACCGACAACGTTCCTGACCCCACCGACAACGTTCCTGACCCCACTGACAACGTTCCTGACCCACTGGCAACGTTCCTGACCCCACTGACAACGTTCCTGAACCCACTGGCAACGTTCCTGACCCACTGGCAACGTTCCTGACCCTACTGACAACGTTCCTGCCCCCACTGGCAACGTTCTTGAACCCACTGGCAACGTTCCTGACCCCACTGGCAACGTTCCTGTCCCCACTGGTAACGTTCCTGACCCCACTGGCAACGTTCCTGACCCCTCTTGGCAACGTTCCTGACCCCACTGGCAACGTTCCTGATCCCACTGGCAACGTTCCTGACTTCACTGACAACGTTCCAGACCCCATTGGCAACGTTCCTAACTTCACTGGCAACGTTCCTGACCCCACTGGCAACTTTCCTGACCCCACTGGCAACTTTCCTGACCCCACTGGCAACTTTCCTGACCCCACTGGCAACGTTCCTGACCCCACTGGCAACGTTCCTGACCCCACTGGCAACGTTCCTGACCCCACTGGCAACGTTCCTGACCCAACTGGCAACGTTCCTGACCCCACTGGCAACGTTCCTGACCCCACTGGCAACGTTCCTGACCCCACTGGCAACGTTCCTGACCCCACTGGCAACGTTCCTGACCCCACTGGCAACGTTCCTGACCCCACTGGCAACGTTCCTGACCCCACTGGCAACGTTCCTGACTTCACTGGCAACGTTCCTGACCCAATGGCACTGGCAACGTTCCTGACCCCACTGGCAACGTTCCTGACCCCAATGGCAACGTTCCTGACCCCAATGGCAACGTTCCTGACCCCACCGGCAACGTGGCAACGTTCCTGACCCCACCTGGCAACGTTCCTGACCCCACTGGCAACGTTCCTGACCCCACTGGCAACGTTCCTGACCCCACTGGCAACGTTCCTGACCCCTGGCAACGTTCCTGACCCTACTGACAACGTTCCTGACCCCACTGGCAACGTTCCCCACTGGCAACGCCCTGACCACACTGGCAACGTTCCTGACCCCACTGGCAACGTTCCTGACGTTCCACTGGCAACGTTCCTGACCCACTGGCAACGTTCCTGACCCCATTGGCAACGTTCCAGACCCCACTGGCAACGTTCCTGACCCCAAACGTTCGCACTGGCAACGTTCCTGACCCCAATGGTTCAACCCCATTTCCTGACCCCACTGGCAACGTTCCTAACCCCACTGGCAACGTTCCTGACCCCACTGGCAACGTTCCTGACCCCACTGGCAACGTTCCTGACCCCACTGCCAACGTTCCTGACACCATCGGCAACGTTCCTGACACCACCGGCAACGTTCCTGACCCCACCGGCAACGTTCCTGACCCACTGGCAACGTTCCTGACCCCACTGACAACGTTCCTGAACCCACTGGCAACGTTCCTGACCCCACTGGCAACGTTCCTGACCCCACTGGCAACGTTCCTGACCCTACTGGCAACGTTCCTGACCCCACTGACAACGTTCCTGACCCCACTGGCAACGTTCCTGACCCCACTGGCAACGTTCCTAACCCCACTGGCAACGTTCCTGACCCCATTGGCAACGTTCCAGACCCCACTGGAACGTTCCTGACCCCATTGGCAACGTTCCAGACCCCACTGGAACGTTCCTGACCCCAAACGTTCCTGACTCCAATGGCAACGTTCCTGGCCCCAATAGCAACGTTCCTGACCCCACCGGCAACGTTCCTGACCCCACCGGCAACGTTCCTGACCCCACTGGCAACGTTCCTGACCCCACTGGCAACGTTCCTGACCCCACTGGCAACGTTCCTGACCCCACTGGCAACGTTCCTGACCCCACTGGCAACGTTCCTGACCCCACTGGCAACGTTCCTGACCCCACTGGCAACGTTCCTGACCCCACTGGCAACGTTCCTGACCCCACTGGCAACGTTCCTGACCCCACTGCCAACGTTCCAGACCCCTTTGGCAACGTTCCTGACCCCACTGCCAACGTTCCTGACCCCAAACGTTCCTGACCCCACTGGCAACGTTCCTGACCCCACTGGCAACGTTCCTGACCCCACTGGCAACGTTCCAGACCCCACTGGCAACGTTCCTGACCCCACTGGCAACGTTCCTGACCCCACTGGCAACGTTCCTGTCCCCACTGGTAACGTTCCTGACCCCACTGGCAACGTTCCTGACCCCACTGGCAACTTTCCTGACCCCACTAGCAACTTTCCTGACCCCACTGGCAACTTTCCTGACCCCACTGGCAACGTTCGTGACCCCACTGGCAACGTTCCTGACCCCACTGGCAACGTTCCTGACCCCACTGGCAACGTTCCAGACCCCACTGGCAACGTTCAAGACCCCAATGGCAACGTTCCTGACCCCAATGGCAACGTTCCTGACCCCACTATGGCAACGTTCCTGACCCCACTGGCAACGTTCCTGACGTTCCTGACCCCACTGGCAAAGTTCCTGACCCCACTGGCAAAGTTCCTGACCCCACTGGCAAAGTTCCTGACTCCACTGGCAACGTTCCTGACCCACTGGCAACGTTCCTAATTTCACTGGCAACGTTCCTGACCCCACTGGCAACGTTCCAGACCCTTTTGGCAACGCTTCAGACCCCACTGGCAACATTCCTAACCCAATTGGCAACGTTCCTGACACCACTGGCAACGTTCCTAACCCCACTGCACACGTTTCTGACACCACTGGCAACGTTCCTGACCCACTGGCACCGTTCCTGACACCACTGGCAACGTTCCTGACCCACTGGCAACGTTCCTGACACCACTGGCAACGTTTCTGACCCACTGGCAACATTCCTGACACCACTGGCAACGTTCCTGACACCACTGGCAAAGTTTTTGACACCACTGGCAACGTTCCTGACCCCACTGGCAACGTTCCAGACCCAACTGGCAACGTTCCTGACGCCACTATCAATGTTCCTGACACCACTGGCAACGTTCCTGACACCACTGGCAACGTTCCTGACACCACTGGCAACGTTCCTGACACCACTGGCAACGTTCCTGACACCACTGGCAACGTTCCTGACCCCACTGGCAACGTTCCTGGCCACTCTGGCAACGTACCTGACCCCACTGGCAACGTTCCTAAACCGAACTGGCAACGTTCCTGACACCACTGGCTGCGTTCCTGACCCACTGGCAACGTTCTTGACACCCCTGACAATGTTCCAGACCCCACTGGCAACGTTCCTGACCCCACTGGCAACGTTCCTGACCCCACTGGCAACGTTCCTAACGCACTGGTAACGTTCCTGACCCACTGGCAACGTTCCTGCCCCACTGGCAACGTTCCTGCCCCACTGGCAACGTTCCTTACTTCACTGGCAACGTTCCTGACCCCACTGGCAACGTTCCTGACACCCCTGGCAACGTTCCTGACACCCCTGGCAACGTTCCTGACCCACTGGCAACGTTCCTGACTCCACTGACACCGATCCTAACCACACTGGCAACGTTCGTGACCCCACTGGCAACGTTCCTGACACCACTGGCAACGTTTCTGACCCACTGGCAACGTTCCCGACCCCACTGGCAACGATCCTAACCCCACTGGCAACGTTCCTGACCCCACTGGCAACGTTTCTGACTTCACTGGCAACGTTCCAAACCCCACTGGCAACGTTTCTGACCCACTGGCAACGTTCCCGACCCCACTGGCAACGTTCCTAACCCCACTGGCAACGTTCCTGACACCACTGGCAACGTTTCTGACCCACTGGCAACGTTCCCGACCCCACTGGCAACGTTCCCGACCCCACTGGCAACGTTCCTGACCCCACCGGCAACGTTCCTGATCCCACTGGCAACGTTCCTGAACCCACTGGCAACGTTCCTGACCCCAATGGCAACGTTCCTGACCATAATGGCAACGTTCCAGACCTCAATGGCAACGTTCCTGACCCCACTGGCAACGTTCCAGACCCCACTGGCAACGTTCCTGACCCCAATGGCAACGTTCCTGACCATAATGGCAACGTTCCAGACCTCAATGGCAACGTTCCTGACCCCACTGCCAACGTTCCAGACCCCTTTGGCAACGTTCCTGACCCCACTGGCAACGTTCCTGACCCCACTGCCAACGTTCCAGACCCCTTTGGCAACGTTCCTGACCCCACTGGCAACGTTCCTGACCCCACTGCCAACGTTCCAGACCCCTTTGGCAACGTTCCTGACCCCACTAGCAACGTTCCTGACCCCACTGCCAACGTTCCAGACTCCACTGGCAACGTTCCAGACCCCACTGGCAACGTTCCTGTCCCCACTGGCAACGTTCCTGTCCCCACTGGTAACGTTCCTGACCCCACTGGCAACGTTCCTGTCCCCACTGGCAACTTTCCTGACCCCACTAGCAACTTTCCTGACCCCACTGGCAACTTTCCTGACCCCACTGGCAACGTTCCTGAATTCACTGGCAACGTTCCTGACCCCACTGGCAACGTTCCTGACCCCACTGGCAACGTTCCAGACCCCACTGGCAACGTTCAAGACCCCAATGGCAACGTTCCTGACCCCAATGGCAACGTTCCTGACCCCTATGGCAACGTTCCTGACCCCACTGGCAACGTTCCTGACCCCACTGACAACGTTCCTGACCCCACTGGCAAAGTTCCTGACCCCACTGGCAAAGTTCCTGACTCCACTGGCAACGTTCCTGACCCACTGGCAACGTTCCTAATTTCACTGGCAACGTTCCTGACCCCACTGGCAACGTTCCAGACCCCTTTGGCAACGCTTCAGACCCCACTGGCAACATTCCTAACCCAATTGGCAACGTTCCTCCTAACCCCACTGCCAACGTTTCTGACACCACTGGCAACGTTCCTGACCCACTGGCACCGTTCCTGACACCACTGGCAACGTTCCTGACCCACTGGCAACGTTCCTGACACCACTGGCAACGTTTCTGACCCACTGGCAACGTTCCTGACACCACTGGCAACGTTCCTGACACCACTGGCAAAGTTCCTGACACCACTGGCAACGTTCCTGACCCCACTGGCAACGTTCCAGACCCAACTGGCAACGTTCCTGACACTACTGGCAATGTTCCTGACACCACTGGCAACGTTCCTGACACCACTGGCAACGTTCCTGACACCACTGGCAACGTTCCTGACACAACTGGCAACGTTCCTGACACCACTGGCAACGTTCCTAACCGCACTGGCAACGTTCCTGGCCACTCTGGCAACGTACCTGACCCCACTGGCAACGTTCCTAAACCCAACTGGCAACGTTCCTGACACCACTGGCTGCGTTCCTGACCCACTGGTAACGGTCTTGACACCCCTGACAATGTTCCAGATCCCACTGGCAACGTTCCTGACCCCATTGACAACGTTCCTGACCCCACTGGCAACGTTCCTGACCCACTGGCAACGTTCCTGACCCCACTGGCAACGTTCCTGCCCCACTGGCAACGTTCCTTACTTCACTGGCAACGTTCCTGACCCCACTGGCAACGTTCCTGACACCCCTGGCAACGTTCCTGACACCCCTGGCAACGTTCCTGACCCACTGGCAACGTTCCTGACCCACTGGCAACGTTCCTGACTCCACTGACACCGATCCTAACCACACTGGCAACGTTCGTGACCCCACTGGCAACGTTCCTGACACCACTGGCAACGTTCCTGACCCCACTGGCAACGTTCCCGACCCCACTGGCAACGATCCTAACCCCACTGGCAACGTTCCTGACCCCACTGGCAACGTTTCTGACTTCACTGGCAACGTTCCAAACCCCACTGGCAACGTTTCTGACCCACTGGCAACGTTCCCGACCCCACTGGCAACGATCCTAACCCCACTGGCAACGTTCCTGACACCACTGGCAACGTTCCTGACCCACTGGCAACGTTCCCGACCCCACTGGCAACGTTCCAAACCCCACTGGCAACGTTCCTGACCCCACCGGCAACGTTCCTGATCCCACTGGCAACGTTCCTGAACCCACTGGCAAAGTTCCTGACCTCCCTGGCAACGTTCCTGACCCCACAGGCAACGTTCCTGGCCCCATTGGCAACGTTCCTGGCCCCACTGGCAACGTTCCTGGCCCCACTGGCAACGTTCCTGGCCCCACTGGCAACGTGCCTGACCCCACTGGCAACGTGCCTGATCCCTTTTGCAACGCTCCTGACCTCACTGGCAACATTCTTGACCCCACTGGCAACGTTCCAGACCCCACTGGCAACGTTCCAGACCCCACTGGCAACGTTCCAGACCCCACTTTCAACGTTCCAGACCCCACTGGCAACGTTCCAGACCCCACTGGCAACGTTCCTGACCCCAATGGCAACGTTCCTGACCATAATGGCAACGTTCCAGACCCCAATGGCAACGTGCCTGACCCCACTGGCAACGTGCCTGGTCCCTTTTGCAACGCTCCTGACCTCACTGGCAACATTCTTGACCCCACTGGCAACGTTCCAGACCCCACTGGCAACGTTCCAGACCCCACTGGCAACGTTCCAGACCCCACTGGCAACGTTCCAGACCCCACTGGCAACGTTCCAGACCCCACTGGCAACGTTCCAGACCCCACTGGCAACGTTCCTGACCCCAATGGCAACGTTCCTGACCATAATGGCAACGTTCCAGACCCCAATGGCAACGTTCCTGACCCCAACGGCAACGTTCCTGACCCCACTGGCAACGTTCCTGACTCCACTGGCAACGTTCCCGACTCCACTGGCAACGTTCCTGACCCCACTGGCAACGTTCCTGACCCCACTGCCAACGTTCCAGACCCCTTTGGCAACGTTCCTGACCCCACTGGCAACGTTCCTGACCCCACTGCCAACGTTCCAGACCCCTTTGGCAACGTTCCTGACCCCACTAGCAACGTTCCTGACCCCACTGCCAACGTTCCAGACCCCTTTGGCAACGTTCCTGACACCACTGGCAACGTTCCTGACCCCACTGGCAACGTTCCTGTCCCCACTGGTAACGTTCCTGACCCCACTGGCAACTTTCCTGACCCCACTAGCAACTTTCCTGACCCCACTGGCAACTTTCCTGATCCCACTGGTAACTTTCCTGACCCCACTGGCAACGTTCGTGACTTCACTGGCAACGTTCCTGACCCCACTGGCAACGTTCCTGACCCCACTGGCAACGTTCCAGACCCCACTGGCAACGTTCAAGACCCCAATGGCAACGTTCCTGACCCCACTGGCAACGTTCCTGACCCCACTGGCAACGTTCCTGACCCCACTGACAACGTTCCTGACCCCACTGGCAAAGTTCCTGACCCCACTGGCAAAGTTCCTGACCCCACTGGCAAAGTTCCTGACTCCACTGGCAACGTTCCTGACCCACTGGCAACGTTCCTAATTTCACTGGCAACGTTCCTGACCCCACTGGCAACGTTCCAGACCCCTTTGGCAACGCTTCAGACCCCACTGGCAACATTCCTAACCCAATTGGCAACGTTCCTGACACCACTGGCAACGTTCCTAACCCCACTGCCAACGTTTCTGACACCACTGGCAACGTTCCTGACCCACTGGCACCGTTCCTGACACCACTGGCAACGTTCCTGACCCACTGGCAACGTTCCTGACACCACTGGCAACGTTTCTGACCCACTGGCAACATTCCTGACACCACTGGCAACGTTCCTGACACCACTGGCAAAGTTTTTGACACCACTGGCAACGTTCCTGACCCCACTGGCAACGTTCCAGACCCAACTGGCAACGTTCCTGACGCCACTGGCAATGTTCCTGACACCACTGGCAACGTTCCTGACACCACTGGCAACGTTCCTGACACCACTGGCAACGTTCCTGACACCACTGGCAACGTTCCTAACCGCACTGGCAACGTTCCTGGCCACTCTGGCAACGTACCTGACCCCACTGGCAACGTTCCTAAACCCAACTGGCAACGTTCCTGACACCAATGGCTGCGTTCCTGACCCACTGGTAACGGTCTTGACACCCCTGACAATGTTCCAGACCCCACTGGCAACGTTCCTGACCCCACTGGCAACGTTCCTGACCCCACTGGCAACGTTCCTAACGCACTGGTAACGTTCCTGACCCACTGGCAACGTTCCTGCCCCACTTGCAACGTTCCTGCCCCACTGGCAACGTTCCTTACTTCACTGGCAACGTTCCTGACCCCACTGGCAACGTTCCTGACACCCCTGGCAACGTTCCTGACCCACTGGCAACGTTCCTGACTCCACTGACACCGATCCTAACCACACTGGCAACGTTCGTGACCCCACTGGCAACGTTCCTGACACCACTGGCAACGTTTCTGACCCACTGGCAACGTTCCCGACCCCACTGGCAACGTTCCCGACCCCACTGGCAACGATCCTAACCCCACTGGCAACGTTTCTGACTTCACTGGCAACGTTCCAAACCCCACTGGCAACGTTTCTGACCCACTGGCAACGTTTCTGACCCACTGGCAACGTTCCCGACCCCACTGGCAACGATCCTAACCCCACTGGCAACGTTCCTGACACCACTGGCAACGTTTCTGACCCACTGGCAACGTTCCCGACCCCACTGGCAACGTTCCCGACCCCACTGGCAACGTTCCAAACCCCACTGGCAACGTTCCTGACCCCACTGGCAACGTTCCTGACCCCACTGGCAACGTTCCTGACCCCACTGGCAACGTTCCTGACCCCACTGGCAACGTTCCTGACCCCACAGGCAACGTTCCTGGCCCCATTGGCAACGTTCCTGGCCCCACTGGCAACGTTCCTGGCCCCACTGGCAACGTTCCTGGCCCCACTGGCAACGTTCCTGGCCCCACTGGCAACGTGCCTGACCCCACTGGCAACGTGCCTGATCCCTTTTGCAACGCTCCTGACCTCACTGGCAACATTCTTGACCCCACTGGCAACGTTCCAGACCCCACTGGCAACGTTCCAGACCCCACTGGCAACGTTCCAGACCCCACTGGCAACGTTCCTGACCCCACTGGCAACGTTCCTGACCCCAATGGCAACGTTCCTGACCCCAATGGCAACGTTCCAGACCCCACTGGCAACGTTCCTGACCCCAATGGCAACGTTCCTGACCCCACTGGCAACGTTCCTGACCCCACTGGCAACGTTCCTGACTCCACTGGCAACGTTCCTGACCCCACTGGCAACGTTCCTAATTTCACTGGTAACGTTCCTGGCCCCACTGGCAACGTTCCAGACCCCTTTGGCAACGTTTCAGACTCCACTGGCAACGTTCCTGACACCACTGGCAACATTCCTAACCCAACTGGCAACGTTCCTGACACCACTGGCAACGTTCCTGACACCACTGGCAACGTTCCTAACCCCACTGGCAACGATTCTGTCACCACTGGCAACGTTCCTGACACCACTGGCAACGTTCCTGACCCACTGACAACGTTCCTGACACCACTGTCAACGTTTCTGACCCACTGGCAACGTTCCTGACACCACTGGCAACGTTCCTGACACCACTGGCAACGTTCCTAACCCCACTGGCAACGTTCCTGACACCACTGGCAACGTTCCTGACACCACTGGCAACGTTCCTGACACCACTGGCAACGTTCCTGACACCACTGGCAACGTTCCTGACCCCACTGGCAACGTTCCTGACCCCACTGGCAACGTTCCTGACCCAACTGGCAACGTTCTTAACCGCACTGGCAACGTTCCTGGCCCCTCTGGCAACGTTCCTGACCCCACTGGCAACGTTCCTAACCCAACTGGCAACGTTCCTGACACCACTGGCAACGTTCCTGACCCACTGGCAACGTTCCTGACCCACTGGCAACGTTCCTGACCCACTGGCAACGTTCCTGACCCACTGGCAACGTTCCTGACCCCACTGGCAACGTTTCTGACCCACTGGCAACGTTCCTGACACCACTGGCAACGTTCCTGACACCACTGGCAACGTTCCTGACACCACTGGCAACGTTCCTGACACCACTGGCAACGTTCCTGACCCCACTGGCAACGTTCCTGACACCACTGGCAACGTTCCTGACACCACTGGCAACGTTCCTGACACCACTGGCAACGTTCCTGACACCACTGGCAACGTTCCTGGCCCTTCTGGCAACGTTTCTGACCCCACTGGCAACGTTCCTGATCCCACTGGCAATGTAGGTCAGAAACCACATTGTAAATAATACCAATTTTTATCCTCGCTAAAATCAGGGAGAGAGCAGGCAGGGCTCACCTGTCAGGGAGAGAGCAGGCAGGGCTCACCTGTCAGGGAGAGAGCAGGCAGGGCTCACCTGTCAGGGAGAGAGCAGGCAGGGCTCACCTGTCAGGGAGAGAGCAGGCAGGGCTCACCTGTCAGGGAGAGAGCAGGCAGGGCTCACCTGTCAGGGAGAGAGCAGGCAGGGCTCACTTGTCAGGGAGAGAGCAGGCAGGGCTCACTTGTCAGGGAGAGAGCAGGCAGGGCTCACTTGTCAGGGAGAGAGCAGGCAGGGCTCACTTGTCAGGGAGAGAGCAGACAGGGGCTCACCTGTCAGGGAGAGAGCAGACAGGGGCTCACCTGTCAGGGAGAGAGCAGACAGGGGCTCACCTGTCAGGGAGAGAGCAGACAGGGGCTCACCTGTCAGGGAGAGAGCAGACAGGGGCTCACCTGTCAGGGAGAGAGCAGACAGGGCTCACCTGTCAGGGAGAGAGCAGACAGGGGCTCACCTGTCAGGGAGAGAGCAGACAGGGGCTCACCTGTCAGGGAGAGAGCAGACAGGGGCTCACCTGTCAGGGAGAGAGCAGACAGGGGCTCACCTGTCAGGGAGAGAGAGCAGGCAGGGCTCACCTGTCAGGGAGAGAGAGCAGGCAGGGCTCACCTGTCAGGGAGAGAGAGCAGGGGCTCACCTGTCAGGGAGAGAGAGCAGGCAGGGCTCACCTGTCAGGGAGAGAGAGCACGCAGGGCTCACCTGTCAGGGAGAGAGCAGGCAGGGCTCACCTGTCAGGGAGAGAGCAGACAGGGCTCACCTGTCAGGGAGAGAGAGCAGGCAGGGCTCACCTGTCAGGGAGAGAGCAGGCAGGGCTCACCTGTCAGGGAGAGAGCAGGCAGGGCTCACCTGTCAGGGAGAGAGCAGTCAGGGAGAGAGAGCAGCAGGGGGCTCACCTGTCAGGGAGAGAGCAGGCAGGGCTCACCTGTCAGGGAGAGAGAGCAGGCAGGGCTCACCTGTCAGGGAGAGAGAGCAGGCAGGGCTCACCTGTCAGGGAGAGAGAGCAGGCAGGGCTCACCTGTCAGGGAGAGAGAGCAGGCAGGGCTCACCTGTCAGGGAGAGAGAGCACGCAGGGCTCACCTGTCAGGGAGAGAGAGCACGCAGGGCTCACCTGTCAGGGAGAGAGAGCACGCAGGGCTCACCTGTCAGGGAGAGAGAGCACGCAGGGCTCACCTGTCAGGGAGAGAGAGCACGCAGGGCTCACCTGTCAGGGAGAGAGAGCAGCAGGGCTCAGGGGAGAGAGAGCACGCAGGGCTCACCTGTCAGGGAGAGAGAGCACGCAGGGCTCACCTGTCAGGGAGAGAGAGCACGCAGGGCTCACCTGTCAGGGAGAGAGAGCACGCAGGGCTCACCTGTCAGGGAGAGAGAGCACGCAGGGCTCACCTGTCAGGGAGAGAGAGCACGCAGGGCTCACCTGTCAGGGAGAGAGAGCACGCAGGGCTCACCTGTCAGGGAGAGAGAGCACGCAGGGCTCACCTGTCAGGGAGAGAGAGCACGCAGGGCTCACCTGTCAGGGAGAGAGAGCACGCAGGGCTCACCTGTCAGGGAGAGAGAGCACGCAGGGCTCACCTGTCAGGGAGAGAGAGCACGCAGGGCTCACCTGTCAGGGAGAGAGCACGCAGGGCTCACCTGTCAGGGAGAGAGAGCACGCAGGGCTCACCTGTCAGGGAGAGAGAGCACGCAGGGCTCACCTGTCAGGGAGAGAGAGCACGCAG